GGAGTTAAAGAATCTTTTTTCCCAACGGGATAGTTTGTATCCTTTTTTTAAAAAGTAACGCTTTCGTTTTTTCAGTGTTTCTGTGGAGTTTACAATCAGTACAGTATACAGCTCCAGCTGATCTATCAAATTCTGCAAACATTTTATAGCACCAGAGAACTATACAATCAGCTCAAACCACAAAAATATCTTAATATCTGGATGCTGCTGTATACCACCCGTACAATTATCCTTAATTTGTGCAGCAAGTTCATTGATGAATAAACAGAAGGAGGGGGCTAAAAATACATTGGCGTACATCAATATTACACGTAAATACATCAGATTATATTCCACGGTATATAACACATGACTTTACATTTTGATAAATATTGCATAAGAAATTACCAATTTTGTTACTTACACAATTTGAAAAGGAACAATGATATCATTATCTTTCTATTAACAGAATCAAACGCCTTTTCTCTGCATGCATATATTTGTGAATAATCGCATTAAATATAAAATATTACCCGTGGTTGAGTAGCCTTGTCTAAAACCGGCTTGTTCTTCCGAAATATTATCTAGTCAATAAGTCTAAAAGGTAAGTCTTTTATTTATAATAGAAACAAATACTAATATTTTGCTAGAAACACTCGTAAGGTAATTCTTCGATAACTGTGTGCATCAGTACATAATCCTGATTTGTGTAGTGGAATAATCACACCAATAGTCCGGAAATAAGATTTTTCTAAATTCACATTAAAAAGTAATTCAAGGCATGGGAGGAGAATATTAACAGAATGTTTAAGAAATCTCTGGAATTAAACCAGCAATGCCGGGACCCTTGCTGTTATTCAAATCGTATGTCGCATTTTGAATGACCTCTCTTGTAATTGGTGAATCAATAATTGTTCTGTCATTCTGACATTGTTCCTGATCTGATAAATCAAAGTATCATTTGTAGCACCATCACCACTAAAATATTTTTGAAATAATCATACATTTAACAATTTCAAAATTATGTAAACATGTACTCATTAAGTGGATTTAACATCATAAGGGTTGTCCAAACTTCTTTCGAGGACTTAATGGCATCTTCAAAAAACATTGTTTCTCTTTCAAGAAATAACATTTCTTCTCCCGGCACGTGTTTTTGTAAAGATTTCTTATTCCTGTATATTCCCTTATCAATGTGGACTACTTTCTTTATTTCTTCACCAGCACAGGAGAGTGCCCCTCCAATTTGTAAATACATCATCAACTCCTTTTTCAACAAGAGATAAAAACTTCTCGGAAGATAAATTACAAAGAAATATTTCTTCTTTTTCAGTTCTCATTTTAAATCTAAATAAACTTGCATAATTACTTGATATCATCATGACCTTCAATGCCTGAATTTGCATTACGTAAAGATATTGCGGATGGAAAGACTTAGTGTTGCGTCTCTGCAACCGTTCTATTCTTTCCAGAATTAAGTAAAACAACACAAGATCTCTTAACGTTCCTCTTTAATAGATTGTACCACAGATTCCTTTTATAAGTTTATGGTCGTCATACCATACTCCACTCTAGTGCTGTCCAATATGTACAGAGGGGCGGTCGGGTAGCCCTGTGGTTAAAGCGTTCGCTCGTCACGCCGAAGACCCGGGTTCGATTCCCCACATGGGTTCTATGTGTGAAGCCCATTTCTGATCCACCCGCCGTGATATTGCTGAAATGGTGCTGAAAGCGGCGTAAAACCATACTCCCTCACTCACTCACTCACCCACTCCAATATGTCCGATGCTGTTTCCTACCCCCGGAGGCCATTGTTACTTGTTTCTCTGTACAATGTTGATAAATGCAACAAAACAATAATATTATTTTAAAAACACTCTCTGTGTACACAAATGTACCCCAGATACATTTTGGTATACACGGATTTAACTTGACAATATATATGGCACTATATGTTGTCACGATGCACGAAACCGGTTTCAGTTTGGCAGTCGTATGTGTCGCGAGTGTTGTTTACTTTAATACCGTACTCTCCTGACCGTAAGAGCTGTTCATACTGCCACCTGGGGTACATACCTGTTGTACATGTGCCGATAATGACCCAGCAGATGTACTCAGTGACAGTTGTAGTTGTTGGGACAGGTAAAAACATATTTTTGTTTTCCATTTTTTTCCAACCTAACTGTATAGGAGGGGCGTTTTTATTTTATTGTATTACTTTAGTTGGTTTCAAATCTGTAAATGTAAACTTGATTCTAATGTACCGTATGACCTCTTTTGACCACGCCTCCATAGGGTCGATGTGCAAAAAGTCGGAATCCGGTGCAAAAACGAAATTGAAATTGAAATAGTCGTTCTGAAGTGCTTAAGAGTGAAAACAATTACAGGTTATTACGAACAAGGTAGGAGGTGAAAATTAACTTTGATTACTATAATCATGTGAATGAAATTAAGTTGAATGAAAATAGTGAACATGAAGAGCCTGTACTAGGATACCATTTAAGCCATATTTGTGATTTAACAAATGATTAATTTCTTATTACAATATTCACCAGTCCTAAGGTTAGTGAATAATCAGACCCCAATATAAGTAAAAATGACTCCCGTATCTACACCTACACTAACAACGTAGGATATTCTGAGCTTGTTTTTATAAGGGACGGAGGGCACCTGGAATTTTGTTTCGTAAAAGTTGTTTTGTTTTTAATCCAGAAAATACTGGTACAAATAATTTAGCGTCATGTTTTACCAAAACAACTAAGATTGTTCACTGAACATGCTTGATGAGGTGAGAATATCTGTTTTTGGTCCCCCAAATTGTTTGACTCCTCACAGAGAAAGCAACTGTATGTCTTGACGCAGTGTTCGAAATACTATTCTTACACAAATGGTAGCTGTCACTTTATTTTTTTAATGACAAAATGTATTTATGAAACAATTACAGGAGCGACCCTACTGTGATTGATTGTTTACAAGAACAGCTATAAAACAGAGCTTACACAGGCAAGATAATGTATGAGACGGCAGCGCTACGACTGTCTAAAGCTGTGTGAAACTATCCGGATTACGATAGTCGTATCACTACGATTTCCTACTCGTGAAGATCAGGGGTAGAAAGGTCTTCAACAATCCAGTCTTGCCGTAAAATGCGACAATGCTTGTCGTTAGAGGCACAGGGGTTTCTAACGCAAAACATAGCAGCCCCAAAATATATGGTCACACCAAGTGTCAGTATAGACCTGCCCGTGAAGATTCCGGGGTAGAATAGGTCTTCAGCAACCCACGCTTGCCGTAAAAGGCGACTATGCTTGTCGTAAAAGGCGACTGGGATTGGGTGGTCAGGCTCGCTGACTTGGTTGGTGCATGTCATCGATCCCAGTTGCGTGGATCGATGCTCATGATATTAATCACTGGATTGTCTGGTCCAGACTCGATTATTTGCAGACCGCCGTCATATAGTCGGAATATTGCTGAGTGCGGCGTTAAACAACAAACCAACCAGTATAGACCTACTATTCTTTCATATAGTATACAGACCGCCTCCGTGGTCTAGTGGTAGAGCGTCCACCCGGAGAGCGGAATGTCCGGGGTTCGATCCCCGGCCGCGTCATACCAAAAGACGGTAAAAGATGGTACTTGTTGTTACCCTGTCTGGCACTCGGCATTTAGGGGCTAAAACAAGGACTGGTCGGCTTGGAGTCAGTATACAGTGTCTGAGTGGGGTATTCATGTTAAACTGCGGCATGGTATCTCAGTGGGCTAGCACTATAAATCGGCATCAGTCCGGACTAGTACAAGCAGCCACACACACACACACACACACGTGCATGCACGTCGCTATATAAGTGCAAACCCCAACGTTAAACCCCATTTCACTTCACCTCACCTCACCTCACCTCATATAGTATACTGACACTGGGTGTGACAATCTATCCTGTATCTGCTATATTTTGTGGTAAGAGGCGACTAACGGGATCGGGTGGTCAGGAAACAGAGTAAGTGGATGTTGTATATTTCCCCATTCAGCAATATAAGAATTAGCAACGCACTCCACCATAGTTAGGCCATCAACACCTCTTAACACAAGGATGAGATGAGAATTTACTCCTCAACTGACACTAATTTCGCTATCAATTGAGAAGACACTTTACTTCTCAGCATCATTGGCTCATCTGCCCCTACTAGTTCGAAGGAATCGAATCTGGACCGGACAAACCAGTGACTGATAACATGAGCACCAATCAACGCAATCGGGGAACAACAACAAAAGAATAACAGATTATTTATATTGCGCATGTTTCCACACCACACAGGGACATGCTCCGAGCGCTATTTGGGTAACACGCAAGCAGCCCAATCACCCATCCTGACCGTTCTGCTGGGGTACTGCATATTCTTCCAGGAATCCCCACTCGGTTCCTTAAGTTGCTAAAATGTGTGACGTCCGTTGTTGGTGTCCCAGGGTTGACTAGACGTGATCCGAACTCACCCACTTTCAATGAGTGAGTGAGTTGGGTTTACGCCGCGTTTAACAGTATTCCAGTTATATCACGGCGTGTCAGCTTAATGTGGGATGAAAGCCCCAAGTGATGCAGGTCTCAAACACTTACCACTTCGGTGAAACCCACGAGCACGGGTATGGTGCTGACAAACCTAGAAACATAATCGGGGCGAACCGGAATTCGAACCCACAATCATAGGTTTCTGGCGTGCCCAAGGGACGCAACACTGCACAGCGAATCGCGGCGCCTTAGACGACTTGGCCACCCGTGCCCCCTTCTTTCAATGAAGATTGTATTCTCATATATGTTTTTTATATACAACCATAACCGTTTCTTTGAAAACGTTCCAAATGATTTATCTGTAAGTACACCAATATGTGTTTAATTAATTGCAAATGTATTCGGCAAAAGGTTTGAATCCGAAAATACGAACCAGAAACGCGCCAATATTCTGTTTCTAAAAATAGAAATCGCGTACGTAAGTAACTAGAATGTATGAGAGTTATGTCCCCTTAAAACTAGTCGAAAAGGAGCGTGTGGGTTTTTATAACCAGGAACTTCGATGTAGCCTAGTGGGATAAGTGTTTATTTGACATTTTCCCAAGGTGTATTTAAATGGACTTCCCCGGCATCGTCCCCCCCGTTCATAAATGGACAAGGGGGGAATAACAGAAATTACAGAACCGAAGGCCCGACCCTGATGTCGTCTCTATACGAAAGATGACAAGCAAGTTCTTCTCACCATAGCAGGTGTGTACCTTACCGCCAAGGCATGTGTCTGCGAACGTGTTAAATTCACGGAACTGTAAATACTGCTTTCAATTCACTATCGTCATATAATTGGCTTTATGTATGGCGGTGTATATGCTTGGAGTTGTCTTTTGAAAACAAACAATTACGTATCAGTTTTCATTTAAAATTAATTTTGTTTATTTGTAAGTTACAGCTTTATTTTAGCATTTTCGGTTTTCACTTTGTTTCCATATTACTTCGTGTGGACATTAGGACGTCAAATAACTTGTTAGAAGTAAAGCTACGGGGATATACATCAAATGCAAGTTTATTACAGTGGTCTGTTTTGTCAAATGCCATTCAAATGAAAGATCCCATTCAACAATTGAGTTCTTTGATGATAAGATGCTGTGTCATCCTGACGTCTGATTAATGTGTGATGTCATCAACTTGTCATATCACTGACTGTTCACAATTTTATTGAAATCAGACCTTTTACTCCGATATGATACATCTTGAGTAAAGATCTGTGGACACCTCCGTAAGAGCTTGGTCAGGTGATCTTTATAATCAGCCAATAAGAGTAGAGGATTCTAACTTGTTGGTATGAATGAGCGAAACATTCTGACAAGCACATGGTATCACATTTCTGTATCTCAAACATGAAGTTGAACCGTCAGTTCCTAATGTAACAAAGAAAAGCCCTGCTATGATATTGATTTGGATATATTATACGCCCTGTTGTTTCCGAGAAAAATGACATGACACCCAAAAGGGAAAACTAACTAAAGGACATTTGTTTTCTATTTGGGTTTTCGTTTTCAAAAATCAAAACTCAACGTGATAAATGAAGCGGAATCAAGTTAGAAAACTGACTGGTTCAAGAACCCACACATCCTTCATTTAGATTAAGCAATTAAAGATCACTACAGGAACACCTGACACAACCTCCTATGTCCTCAGATCTTGACACAACAAGGTATCGTATCAAAGTAATGATCAGATTGACCTGTTTACACTTTGTAATATTCAAAGTTACGCACACAGGTCATAAATCAGGTGAGTAGTTGCATAGGTGACTGTTTTTGGAAGCTTGCCTCCAGAGAGTTTTTAGGGTTTCAGTCCTGCCACGCACTGAATCACATGTTGCATGTGTGATGTCTCCATCATGTCCATAGGCATGTGCCTTTGTTCAAAATATGGCTCTGTTCACCCATCAGTGAATGGGTACCCAGAAGGATGAGATGGTATAATGACCTTGCACCTCCCAGGCATCTTGGGTTGTATACCTCCCAGGGAGCTGAGAATGAAAATCAAGTGCACACTGATTCATTTTATCAGGGTAATAATAATGTAGCACCATCAGCAATCACCTGGTGAATGGAATCATATTCGTTCTTATGGAATTATTATTATTATTATTATTATTATTATTATTATTATTATAATGCCAAACAATTTTTTATCCAATATTAATCTCTGTAAGAAAGCAGTTAAAAAATTTGGAGACCTGTGAAGATCTGGGGTAGAATAGGTCTTCACCAACCCCTGGTTGTTGTAAAAGGCTACTATGCTTGTCGGAAGAGGCGACTAACGGTATCGGGTTGTCAGACTCGCTGACTTGTTTGATGCATGTCATCCGATCCATGTCATCCCAATTGCGTGGATCGATGCCCAAGATGTCAATCACTGGATTGTCTGGTCAAGACTTGATTATTTACAGAACGCTGACATGTAGCTGGAATATTGCTGAATGCAGCATTAACAACAAACAAACAACCAACAGATGACGTCCGTATCGTGGTGGCCTATGCGGCCTGTACATATATTCGTAATACCTTACATGTCTATCCACACATCTGAGCACCCTAAGCAGTATATGTTAACACTTTTCAGGGTTAAACTCTTAGGTCATGTCGACAATTATTTTTATAATCATATCTTAGTTTTTGCTTCCCCTTAACAACGATCTGAGGACATCCCATTATGGGTCACCTCAGAACGACCTTTTATATGACCAATCAGAACATCGCTCACTGGATCTCCTGTTTGAAACTAGTGCTGTATAGATCAAGAAAGCTGCTTTCTGATTGGCTATTGTCGACTTCTTGTTAGTCATTTCATTGGTCAGTCAGAGATTGCAAAGGTCTTTCTGATGTGACCTGTAATGGGATATCTTGAGATCTTTGTTTAGTGGTAGCAAGAACTAAGATCTGATTTTTATGAGATTGGGATGAGGATTTCTGTGGTTTGAATCCCATGACAGGAATAGGATATTTTATGGCCTGTACATGTATTTCTAATAGCTAATATGTCTAACCACATATCTGAGCACTTGAAGCAGTATATGTAATCACTAATCAATGTTAATATGAATATTACACATGCAGAACTATATCAACTGACATGACAGATCAGCCTCACACACCCCCTTACAAGTTAACTTAGCCCTTGGCCAAGTTTTGTCATGATTTGAGTATTGTTAGACACACTATCTCTGAGTCTGTTAAATAATATAACAGCTGGTTTTGTTTTTGTCAGTCATGCATTGACCCAGCATAACCCAGCTTGAGTCTAGACCCTTTTATTGATAGGTTTTCATTGCTAGTGTGACTAAGACAGCATATATGACAATGTACACTGATTAACCTAGACCAGCTCTGTGGCTGACTTTAGGCTCCAAGTCTGCAGTAAATGTAATTAAAAAGTCACAGATATACGATTTCCCAATTCACATTAGCTTACTGATTACTGAAAACAGGACCATTAGAGAGGAAGTGGCTTTAATGCTTAGTTATTTATTGATTGAATAATTCATTGAATGCAATGTTAAAATATTTCTGAAATAAAGAATGAAGAACTTAATTCCTGTTTTGAACTTAAAAATAATGTTTCCCCCCCCGATTTGCCTGCATTGGGCTCATGTATAGTTTTGAGTGCTAGATAAATCCCTTCAAACAATCTTTGCCAAACCAATTTGAGTACTCGCCTCAACTTTGGCTCTTGATATCATTTTAGTAGGTTTCGCTGTGATGGTATGGACTACTATTAGCTGAGCTTACTAGACTATTAGCTGAGCTTACTGTTTATACCGTGTGTGCTGTATTTGGGGTTGGACATTCCACTTGTCCAGAAGTCCACCACATTTGGGATTCCAGGTTAGAATCATCTTCCCGTGGCAAAAGAGTTAACTGACTTTAAAAGTCCAGTTTCCACCCTTGCCAAACTAGACTGGAATTACTGGGCTCCATCGTAGCGCCACTAAGTGGCTATTACCAGTTATGTCCCTTCTAAGCCTCTCCTATGGACCAATCAGACTCCACCTGTCGTGTCTCTTGCGTTTGCTTCACACAAAATGGTAGCGCCCAGTCAGTACGACCTGATCGATAATCAAAATCTATATTGTGATAAAATGGGTCTTACATTGCGAAATGCATCAAATCACATGAGCACCTTGATTAAAAACATGAAAATATTTAGAAAATATCTGCTGACAAAGAGTTGGTGGTGCACATGCTTTGCAAATCCTGCAATCGACCGAAATCTGCACGACAGTTTTACGAACTGGATTTCGATTTCGGGCTGCGATTTTGATTGGACTATGCATAGACTCGTTAGTCCAGCCAAATTGTAACTCCATAATAGCAGCCAAGTTCGGCAAGGATGGAAACTGGACTTTTATAGTCAGTTAACACTCTTGCCACAGGAAGATGGGTTAGAATTGGCCCCTAGTAACTTTTGCTGGTCCTAAGACATGAATTAATGGATCCGAGGGTCGGTGATTTCGTTGATGGTGTGTCATCGTACCCTGACTGCGTGGATCATTGCTCATATCGGTCACTTGATTGTCTGGTCCAGACTTGATTAAGTCACATAGCTGAAATATTCCTGAGTGTAGCTTTTAACAACAAACGGGGGCACGGGTGGCCCAGTCGTCTAAGGCGCCGCAATTCGCTGTGCAGAGTTGCGTCCCTTGGGCATGCCAGAAACCTATGATTGTGGGTTCGAATCCCGGTTCACCCGAATTATGTTTCTAGGTTTGTCAGCACCATACCCGTGCTCGTGGGCTTCACTGAAGTGGTAAACGTTTAAGACCTGCATCACTTGGGGCTTTCCTCCCACATTAAGCTGACACGCCGTGGTATGACTGGAGAACTGTTAAAAGCGGTGTTAAACCCAACTCACTCACTCACTCACAAACAAACATATAGTGAAAATCTTGAAGGAGTAGTTGTATACCACGATAAACCAGCCATGACTAGTCAGATTTAACTTGCCATCCGTCCACTTCTCAGTGGGGATAAAAGAATTTAAAAAACTGTTTTTTGTTTAAGAAATCAAATTTAAGACACTCATCTAATACTGGTCATGATGTCAAATGAGTTCAAAAATTGGTGTCTTAAATTCCATTTTTTTACAAAGTTATGGCCCTTGCTCCATGCTTTCAACTGAATGCATACTGGGTGAAATGGGGACAAGTTTTCTCAGAAGCTACTGAAGTTACATGAATAAAACTTTGCAAGCTTATCTTAGATATACTGATCAATTGGTGCACATTGATTATTTTTTGTAGAGTCACTTCCCTTGCAACATGTTTTTAGATTTTGTGCATCCTGTTTTCAATGGGGACAAGTTTCCTGAGAAACTATGTGTAAGTTTGCATGCTTATAAGATATTTTATCTTATATTTGCTATATAGCTAACATTAAGTTCCATATTATTCACTTTGTATGGTGGCTTAATTTTGGTTGCTGGTGATCTCTAGCCAACTTTTATAATATATTGTGGGGTGGTCAGGTAGCCTTGTGGTTAAAGCGTTCGCTCGTCACGCCGAAGACCCGAGTTCGATTCCCGACATGGGTACAATGTGTGAAGCCCATTTGTGGTGTCCCCTGCCGTGATATTGCTGGAATATTGCTAAAAATGGCGTAAAACCATACTCAGTCACTCACTTATAATGTATTGTACAGATTAGTCAAAATTTTATAGTAACTTACTAGTTTTATATTTATAGCTGT